GCTTTATGTACAAATGGGTCAGTTATAACAAAATTTTTTGCATTTTATCCAGAAAGAAAAGTTTCATTGTCTCATTGGTTACATTATTGGATATCAAAAGGTATGTAATCAATAAAATGTGAATCAACAATATAGATATACCAGCGTATTTTAGGTGCTGCACCCATAGCAACACTAAATTTACAACATTGTGGAGAAGGATGTGATATTCCAGATGCATGGCATCATCAAATGATATTTGGTGTTGGACAAGCGGGAATTTATTTAACTAATCCATTAGAATGTTTACCTGAACAGGTTTGTTATTATTTAAATAAATTAATTACTTAACTATTATATAAATTTAATCAATTTTTTAGTATGTTTGGCATCAACTTGTAAGTCCTAGTATTTTACTAATACGAAGAGCGGATGTCTTAGCTCATTGGAATCCTAATACAGACTTAACACCACTCGCTGCTATGGATCAAAAGTGGCGAAAGCTCAATGTTTTTGGTATGCATATTGTTTAAACAATTGGAAATTTATTCTATAAAAATATTTAATATTATTTTTATATCGTTTATTAGGTCAAGTTGTAAATATGATACGCGAAGCAATGACCCAGAGACGTCAACTCAATAATTTATCTACTGGAGTAACTCACATTCGTATTCCTGCATCTTATCAAGCAGGTATTACATTAGTTATGTGTGCAGACTCTTCAGCTGCTTCCGAATTGTTACATACCGAACAATTACCATTACTCTAGTCTTGTTGATCAAAATTATTAAAATTCAGGCTGCCCCTTTTTATTTGTAATAAATTTAATTAGCAGGCTGATCCGCACAATGTTATTCACAATAGCTCATTTACTAAATAAGGTGGGGTCAGAATCGAAATAATTTACATTTTTAACACAAAAAATGTTTGTATTCAAAGAGAATATTATTGATTAAAATATATTTCAATAGAATATTTCTGTTTTATATGCAGTTATATTTTATAAATTCATATATTAAAAAAATATTAACAAAATTAAAAATTTTTGTGATAAGATATTTTCTAATACATGGTATCAAGTTGTTTTTGACATTAAATATAATAAAGGTAAGTATTAATTTCTTTCTATATAATTAGATTAAGATTTTATTATTGAATTTATTTATTTATTTTTATTTTTTTTATTTTTTTATTTTTTTTGAGAATTGAAAATTATATTACAATTAATCATTGTTTGAGTAGTCCATAGTAAAACTTAATATATTTTATATAAATTTTACAGAATTTTGTCACAATTTTATATTGGAATTATACAGAAAATGTGCTTGATGAAATTAGTTTGAAAGCACAATATTATTATTTTTTTGTGCATTTGTATTGACATAAATATTGTATTTATGTACATACATAGCCTACTGTTAATCATTTTTACACTCTCTTAGAGAGGTTGATTTTAAGACATACTGAAATAAATAAAAAAGATATTAGTTAGCATTACAATACATTTGAATGTTAATCTATAATCTATAATCTAATGTACATTACCTTTCTATAAGTGATGCACGCATAGTTGATGTAATGGCAGCTGGTGCAGCTTCATTAAGTTTAAAAACACTTTCAATAACTGAAAGTTCTGTTGAAGTTGTATCCATACCACAAAAGGACACCCAATCATTTACAACCATTCCTGCAGCTATAACATCACTGCCTCTATTTACTGTACCTGCCTATATATTTCACTTTGATAATAAATATTTAAATTTTTTATTTTTTAGATATGAAAATTATCTTACAGCAAGTGGCACTTGTAACAAAGATGACAATTCATCTTGATCTTGTATAGATGTTTTTGGATGCACTAATCCACCTTGATTTGATAATACAGAATATGATCCTACTAAAACATTACTTGCCACAGTTTGTCTAAATACTTCTACATTCAATGTATCTGCTAAAATTTCTTCTGTTTCCTGTAGAATTATATCAATTATAAATATTGCAATAGGACAAGCTTAATATTTATTTTTGATGTAATACTTACTCTATCAAGATCAGGATGTACTAAAGCAACATAATCATTGCAGGCAATAACATTACCCAAGGCAGATAATCTTTCTTCTACTCTTTGTACTTTAACCTTATCTGGTAGTGAATTTCGTATGTGCTGTAATTCTGTGTCCGTCGTCGTATTTGGAACCAACAATCCATTTTTATTTCCTGTTTAAATATATATATATATATTTTTTTTTATTTAAACACAATTAATCTCAAATATTGAAGGTTAAAATTTTAATTTTGCTTACCAACGCATAATCGTCCAATTATACGACATCCTGCAACTGACGCGTGTATTACAGGAATAGTTTCGGCTAATTCTGCCTCAAACACACTGTAATTAATCAATAATTTACATTTCATAAATTATGAATATTTTATGTCAACACATGTCACATGTTATAAACTTAACAAATCATTTGAGAAAATTATTGCGCAATATAATGTAATCTTCTATAGTTTGTTATTGATGCGATTATAGATAAAATGGTATCGATTTATACTTATCTTTACCTGTAAAAATTCTCGGAACCACCAATTGCTACGAGGCAATAAGAATTTGTCAACTTGGAGAAAACTCCAACTTCATTATTATTTTCGAATTGCACACGTACCGCCATAATTTTAACGATATAAATTTACATTAGCGTACTGAATTTAGAAATTGTTGCGGTATCTTTATCAATTTTTAAAATATACACGCTAACCTATATTTCAAGTACGTAATTTCTTCTAAACGCTAACACGAGGTTTATATCATGAATTACGAGATACTGATTCAGTACAGACGTAGAAGAGAAAACATCACTAGATTATTGTATCTGCCCTCTTGCGATGAAATATTGAAATTATGTTATTTCAAAATTTATCATGAAGTTTCTACTCTATATAATATTCGAATAATTTCGTCATTATGTATAATCATTTGAAACGTTTTTCTTATTTCGAATAATATAAATTTCATTGTGTTCAGTATAAAAAAGATAAACGAAATACGAATTATTTTGTCAAAATATATTATCTGAATTACTAAAGTGCATTTTATTCAAAATAATTTTATTTTTGTTATAATAGATAAATTATACTTACGTTTTCTAAATAGTATACGAATGTTTAAAATATATGTGAGTATATAACATTTTTTCATAATATATTATAAGTCTTATATTCACATTTCAATGATTTAAACAAAATAACAAATTGCATAAACAAACATGCAATGAGGTATTATTAATATTTATAATTAATTAACATAAGTGATGTTTGCACAATTCCTTTATTGAAAGTTTTTTCATAATATTAGCAACAATTATGTGGAAAAAAGAAATATATTCAAATCGTTGCGTTAATTTTTGAACATTCGATAATGTACATGAACATCATCATAAATTAGTTCGTTTAATATTAAAAAAACCAATAAATATTCAAAATTACCGTTTTATTAACAACATTATCGCAAGCATTATAAATACCCTTCGAATATAGTTTTCATTTTGATTGGTACCGACATCGTAAAGATCGTCTTTGTCACGGCAGTATTATTTTATAATAATGGCAGTATTATTTGCGCGAAAATGATTTTTCACTATGAAATCTATTAACATAAATTAATTAATATTAAAGTTCACAATATTGTCGAGTTCTTCAATAGTCTCAAATTATAAATGCCGACAATATCAATCGAATAGTGCTCAGTGTTCTTATTCGAGCGATAATTTCCTTCGAATCTGTACAGGAAAAGGAAATTTGTCGCACGAAAAAAGAAGAGAAAAAGAATTCAGAACAAAGATTCGTTGGTTGGTATCAATATCGATCGACGATATGAAACATCTCACTTCGCGTCGGATACGTTGTACGAACGTAACAAAGAGGTGAGCGAAAGAGAGGTGGAAAAGATAGCAAATTATACATTGATTTCCTTTGATTTGATTTTATGCCACTTTTCAGTCTCGTCCTATCGATTTTTCTACCATTTTCATCGTTATTTTCTTCTCATTTCTGATGTTTTTTTTTATTTTCAGTTTCTTGTAGGATGCGCGCATGTGTGCGATCAATGTGTACATCAATAGAAAATAGAAATAGTAAAATCTTCAGTTTGAACTCGGCTTGAACGTCGTGTACTGCGGCGGCTTCTCGATCTTGCAGTGGGGCTTCAGGGTTGCTAAACGATCTGGTTTGAGAAACAGCTGCTCCCCCTGCACAATTTTCATCTTAAGGATCTTAAGAGAATACGAATCTGGTCGCGTTCAAGGCACGCGTATAACCAGAAGCATCGGACAAATAAAACTCTACAGGTATATATGTACATATGCTACGGGTGATTACATGACATTTGGGAATGGTAAACTATATATATATATAATATATATAAGTGTGGTTTGTGCAAATATTTTCGTATACGAGAAAGAAACAGGGCCGTTTTATATCTCGGATAATGATCGGCTCATTGTTTTCTACGTCATTGTTACATATATACTTATTGATGACCATTCATTATTGCGTATCAATATTGACACGGTTACCAAAATGATGCATTTTATTACGTAAACATGTTGATAAACAAAATATGGCAAATAACAATTGCACGATATAAATAGAAATTATATTTTCAATAATGTTATATATTTTAATATACTTTTTATAAACGCATCATTTTGTTTGATCACAATATAATATAAACGTATCTAATGAGTTTTGAATATTCGCAAATACAAAATGAATATATGCGTGTACATTAATATTATTGATATCGATGTAAATAATGTAAATATATCGGCCTGATAAACGATTTAAATAAATATTTAAAGTGGTTAGCTAATCAAAATTTCATAATACATTGGAATTCTTGTTTAATCTAAATATTTATGCTTTTCCAAGGCAAAACTCTTCATTCTCGTTTCATAAAACGGTCCTGAATTCATTTAAAATCTTGTATCAAACGGGAGATTGGGAATGTGAAGCAAACAGTGCTCGTTGTTACGCAAACATGTCGCATACCGCATACGAGTTCCAAAGAGAATAGATTTCGTATTGATAATTCGTATATCCGCACAACATGCTCGCAATCGTTTTCACGAGTGTGAAAAGGATATTGCTGGGTTTGATGACAAACGGACAAGCATACGCATTTGTATGATTATTTTTTAATGATAACATGATACACGAAAGAGAGTACTCGAAATTTGTTCGAGCTGTTTCTACGCAAAATGTCATACAGCATCGTCTCACGTAGATTGCTCGGTTACAGGTTATGAACGAAGTGGCATCAATGATAGTTTCGAGATGCGAGCAGCAAAGCTAATTAATCGTTACAATGATTTTGCGCAATGATAATGACGATTCGCGATCGGACGAAGTGCAAATGAGATGAAATGGAGGAAAGAGAAAGAGAGAGAAAGAATGAATGAAACAGAAAGAGTGGGAGAGAAGAACGTCTCGATGAATATAAAAGGTATGCATACACAAATGTTAACATGCACGTGGAATTTGCGATGTCGTAACATGCTTGATAATGATCTTTGTCAAACGCAAATCAAGGGAATATTCCCTCGAGTCATTAAAATTAAATCTTTTACGATTTAGCAATTATACCGTGCACGTTCTACATCTGTTCAAGGATTGGTTTAAGTAAATAGTCGTATGCTTTTCTCTATCGATTTTCGAAGAATCAGTTACACGTGTGTACAACGTAAAACTTAACGTTTATTGAGTCGCGGAACTATCTTGAATAATCGTTAACTTCGATTAATGATTAGCATTATGGTAACCTATTTGTATTGAGCGGCGATTCTCGCTAATTACCGATACGCTTATTTGAACGAATAGATCGGTAATCGAACATACGATTATCTGTGGCTTTTAATTACACTGGCGGATGCACACTGTCCGATTATAATAATAATAATAATAATA